GGACTTTGTTATGTATATGTGTTTGTTTGTATGTGTCCTTCAGAATGCTTCATATCTGAAGCGACCAGACCCAGACCTTCCACTATGTGTGGAACAGACAGTTCTTGTATGGATCCCCCTTTGTTTCCTGTGGCTCTGTGCCCCATGGCACCTGCAGGCTCTCTGTCAGAGTGCAAATGTAAACACAAAACAACTGTCCAAGCTCTACATCTGCAAACAGGTAAGAAATACTATCTAATAAAGACATCTTCATAAAAAATTGTTGTTTCAGTTCATAGCTTAGGTAGCTGTCTTCTAGTTTCAAATGTTTAACTGTATACTGTAAAAAAAAAGTGCTTTACTGTAAAGTTTTACAGAATTTACAGGAAAAACAAAATTTCTGTTATTTTTAAATACATAAATTATGAATCAAATTACAATAAAATCACAGTATAAAATGACAAAATGACATTAAAAGTAGTTTATGTACTTTCACATGGATTTGTTGTCAGTTAACACATTTGTTGTGTTTTAATGGAAGCATTTGTTGCGCATTCTTTTTATCTTGGGTAAAAGAAGGATGTAGTCTGAATCCAAGTTTCTAATCATTTATTGCCTCAAGCAGTTCAAACCATAAGCATGTACATGGATCTCTTTCATTCAGAAAAACACAGTCTGCAAGCAGTTAGCTGTAACCAACTTCCTGAAAGAGACTTACCTTCCCTTAACATTACAGAGAATTATATATCAATTTGTGCTTTCAATTGGTCAAAACTGTTGGGATCTGTCCCCACTCCTCGGGTGAGAGCGGCTGGTGCCTGGCAGGGGCAGTGTTCCTGCTCTCCTGATGTGGTCCTGCGCGCGTCAGCTGCCTGCCCAGCTGCCTGTGAGCCCAGGCTCATGACCAAGCCTGTGGTGCGCCACCATCGCTTGCCATGCGGTCGAGAAGACCAGCTTCACTGTTGCCACTGGACAAGCAGCCGGCGTGGTTCGTTGCATGGCTGTGGTGAGGCTGACACACCTGAGCTGCATTAGCTTGTCACGCCTCCCCTGCCTATAAGGGCGAACAAGGTCCTGAAGGATATTGTTGTTGGTGTGTGTAGATGTGTACAGCAACCAAGCGTAAATAAGTGTTTAAAAGCATTAAGATGTGGGCGGTTCCATCGCTCTCCTGTCACAGACTTGTTGGTGTCAAAGGGTATTGTAAAAATGTGAGTTTGAATAAGCTTTCTGAACTTTTTAAGGAAATTCTGAAATTGTTATAGTTGTGGTGTTTCGGTGAAAATCCTAAAAAGTCATCGAACTATATGGAAAGTACAAAGTTACCGTAGTCCTGATTGTAGAACTTTTACATTTTCCTTCAGTGTTTCCTCAATGTGCTCATTCAGTGTTCTTCATTCTGTAAAGTTCTTGTCTCCCCGTTTCAAATTATTGTTTCCCTGTGTTTTTTACGTTAGTCATTTGTCTCCTGTATCTTGCAATTAGTTTTGCTTTCTTTTTAAGCTGTGCCTTTTTCTCCAGCTATATCTGCTTTGCTTAATTCTTATGTGTGGTTTTTATAACCTAATTCCTTTGTTCTTTGTCAGGTCATTTGTTAACCTGCTTTCATGAGCTCCAAGTTCTCTGAAAAAGCTTTTTGCTGTTAAATTTTCCCCCTATGGACTGTAATCATCCTAACTGAAGATTAGTTTTCACTAAAGGTTTCTCAGTATTGCATTAACATTCCCCTCTTTCCACACTTCATGCTAGTTCACAAATGCACAAATGCAGAAAAACAGCTACACAATGAAATACACAATCAGTACATATATGACTCATTTTACAGACTGCGCCTTTGCGCTGGACTATCTATCCAACTTGAAATGAATGGCTGTACCATCCAGTGATACCAGTTTTGAAAGGGACTCTACCAAAAATTATAATAAAACCTGCAGACAAACGGTGAGCAGTAGCTAACATTCAATAAAAACCAACAAAACCAAGCTTGATGAGAGCAGTCATCGCAGGGCAAACGACCGACAGAGCCTCTCCCGAACCCAGCACAGCCCTGAGTTGTGGGCGGATCGATCCAAGTATTGATACCAAGTCGGCATCGGTATCGGATCGTTACTAGCGTGGTGAGATCGATTCTTTACTTTACGTTCCACTCTCGTTTGCAATGCTGTGGTTTCGGCAAAGATGAAACAGCCAGGTCACCAGACTCGCCACACCTGTATCAGCGCAGAGCAGACACACATTGCTCCCCTTTTGTGTTTAAATGTTGCGCCGTCACATGACGTGACTTAGACGCATTGGGTCTTGTTAAGTTGTTTACATATCATTTATATTTTTACCAGTTCTTGTTGTTGTTGTTGAGAATTTTAATTGTAATTTTTGTTGTATAGTTTCTCAACAGCACTTGTTTGTTTTAGTTTGTTTACTGGTTTGCACTTTTTACTTAAGATTTTTCTAGAAAAAAATTGATCATATTCATTTTCGATAAGCATTTTCTATTTAATTATAAAATTTGTCCTAATTATGCCCTGGGAACACTTAAGGTCATGAACATTAATTGAGATTTAGCAATTCAATGACGCATCCACCTTCTTTATTTAAAAGTACCGATATCGGTATCGATATCGGTATCAGCGATATTGGCCCCTATTTACTTGGTATTGGATTGATACCAAAATATGCACTATCAAACACCACTAGTTTAAATACTCTTGTTGTCAGCTGTGTTGGAAATGGTCCCTACTTCTCACTTTGACTTTGGATGTGCCTTTTGGATGATTTCCTTCCGTAACACTGCACCTGTAATTTTAAAATGAAAACTACCCCAGAAACCCTCTTTTGCCATATGTTCCTTGCCATGTGTCAATTTAACACAATTAGAGAAGCACAAGAAGATATGTGCACTGTCTCTTTAAAAAATTCCAGGGCTTCTCCCCTGGAGTAGATCTGCTCCAGGCCTGTATCCCTATGTTAAAAAAACATTATCCAGTGGTGTGTCCTGCTGTAAATCATGTGAT